CCCAAACCCCAAGCCCGGAAACCGAAACCCGAAACAAAGAATCTCAACACGCAGCGAAAACAGAGACTGTCTGCTTCCCGAACCTCAGGCCTCAAAAGACTACAAGCAACAGTTCCCGGTTCGATAAATCGATAAATCTCGAAGCGTTTGCCGAAGGCCTAGGCCCCAGGCAACACGCGAAACTTCCCAGTCCGACAGCCCTGATCGTATGCAAACTTTTTTTGAGCCTGGCAAGACACTTTTTGAACCTGTGGCGCTCTTATGTCCTAGTAAGCGCGAAACCTTAAAGCTCCAACCAAGTAGATCCCTGCTGAAGCCGAAACCCGAAAGCCGTTAAACCGATAGATCAGGACCAGGAGGAAATCTCCCCTGTTTCCGATGAGGCCCGGAAAGGGTTTTCGGTTTATCCGAGTTGAGTGCTGTCGCGCAACAAGCCGCCACCATCACCACCACCGCCACCACTAACACTGCCACTGCTAGTGCTGAGTACTAGCGCTTCAAACTCCGAGCTTGAAGCGCCCAGACGGCAGGCACACAGCACTTTGGGCTATGGCGGTGAACAGAGAGGCGCGCAGCTTCCGGGAAGTCCACGAGTTCAGACTGAGGGGAGGGGGTGCTTCGGGATCCTGGTGTGGGCATCCCTTGGGTGTCACACCAGAACCAGCCCGTGTTTCATTGCTGGCAGGCTACATGCGAGCTACCGAATCCCGGCGGCCCGCGGCGAAGGCGGATTCGGGGCGCCTACGTTCCCAGACCCACGACCTTCCACTCCAAGCGACAACCCTCAGCCTGGTTCTCCACGATGAGGGATATTTGGCAAGCCCCAACTCGTAATGAATTCCGAGATCCGGAAGGGGTCGGAAGCTTGAAAGAAAGACCTCTGGCAGCATTTTTGCTTGCATCCTTAAAGCCGCAGGCCCGACTGTAATCGTAGGAATCTTGGCCAAAGAACTTGATTGGTACCCACATGCAGTCGAAGACTTAACAACTGGGCAACAGCTGGGCAAGAAGCTTCATTGCACCCTCGAGTCCACTCGTCAATTTGCGCGAGCCCATGCTTCAGAAGAAGTCTGGGCCCTTTTCATGACTGATGATATATTGAGAACTTGTACCTAAGTTCAACAAAACAGAGCCTGTAGGCGCTGCACAACCTCTTAAGTCCAGAAAATCCGTCTAAAAGCCTTGTCGTGTCCATTCAAGCCCACATGCTTTCGAAACCTAATGTGAAGCCTGAGAGGATTCCTCTCAAAGCTCGAAGACCAACCCCCAAAAGCCTTAGAGTAGGCCCCAGCAAAAAGCACCTAAATCTGGGCATCCTCACATTGGGGCAAAAGTGGGCTCAGAAGCGGGATTCCCCAAAAAGCTCAATTGTGAGATCCCTTTGTTTCTGGTGGTCTTTTGGTCTTCTGTAACCCTAAACCCTAAACCCTAAACCCTAAACCCTTCCGTTCCAGGAGAGGGCGGCTCGAGGCAGCCGCAGCGGACCGGCCTGGAAGTGAGAGACCCGAGGAGTCTGGAGCCGAAGCATTTCTCACAAGGTTTAGGGTTTTTGGGGACTTAGTAAGTACGTAATTAATGAGTAGAATTATAAGTACCCTAAAAGGGATCCTAATTGGGGTTATGGGTTAAGGGCTTCGGCTCCGAAGGCATGAAGACTTGAAGCGCGAAATCCTGGAACCCTGAAAGCTGAGCAAGACTCAGCCCTAAGTAAGCCCCAAGCTCTCAAGCGCGAAGCCGGTCCAAAGCCGACCCTGCAGCAAGCGACAAAGCATCCAGTGCTGGATGGGCTTTAACTTTCGGGTTGAGGTGTGGAAGTCTCTCCTATCTATATACCCTCGACCGGAAAGCCCTAAATGCCCCGAGCCTTCAAGCCACCTAATCCCAGGAGCTCTACAGGTATAGGAATCAAAGCTTGTGCTGCCTGACGCTTTATGGGATGTCAAGCTTGATTGCTTCGGTGTAGGGCCGTCTTGGTACCCCCAGTGACAAGCATTCGAACCCTTTTGCCGGACCCCGGAATGGACTTTCAGTTGCCCGCCCACAAGGATTGGCAATCGGTCCAGTTACGATTTCCTGATGCACTTCACTTCTTCACTTCTTTGCGAGGCTTCGGGCGCTTGAAGAGTTTCAATCATCTGGGCTCGAACATGAATGTGAGAGTTGCCCTCAACTGTGGGCTTCATGCTTTGGTGCAGTCAAAAGACACAATGAACTTCACCACCGCAAGCCACAGACATCCTACGGCTCTGCACTAAGACCCTGGACGACCGAAGCGCCAACAGCCATGCGACCCTTCAAAGTAACCCTGATAGTGACTCAAACCCATACAACATATCATGTATCCCTTCTAGTTGCTCTTATCGTATCTCTTCTAGTAACTTAGTAACCCGTATAGTATAGCAGCTCTTACCGCTTGAAGCCCCTAACTCGAAGAGAGCCTGGGCAGTACACCTCCACTTCAATGCCAGGGGAGAGGTAGCTTGAGGGCTACTGGGCACTCTCCCAAAGCCTTACACGACACCGAACCCTCAAACTGAAGCCCGAAACCTTTAACCTCGAGACCAAACCCTCATACCTGCCAACAGGGGCCATGGACCCTTAAACTTAATCCCTGTCCCTAAACCTGTATGGTCGTTATAGCATCCTTAAACACTAAAGCAACCCTAATTTAGTTGGGTGGATGTATCCTAACTCAAGAGCTCTGTCGAAGTAGCGGAACACGACGGCGACACTTTGTCGGGCCGCTGGAGCCATGGAGGTAGAGGCCTGCTGAAGCCAAACCCTCTCATAATGATTGTTGCTGTTGCCATTCTTCTTCTGATTACTATTCCTTTGTGTTTTATCATAATGTTCATATGCCCTAACCAACGTATCACATGGTTCTAATGGCCTTATGTTCGGTGTTTTGGGGTTGAGTGTCTAGAGTTTGGGTTCCACGGGCCGCCTGGACCCCAAAACTACCCTTTCATAAAGCCCAGCTGCACGAAGTACGACGGGGGACTAGCAAAGTGGAGGGTGCTTCGGGGTCCGGGTAGACTCTGGCTTGGGCCCTTTTCACAGCCCAAAGTCCAATCATCCAGTCTTGGGGCTGTAACGCCCAAAGGCCGAAGTTTCGAGAGACCTAAGCCCTTGAGCCTTGCAGAAGTCTGCCACGCCTTAGCCCTAAGCCCAAAGAAGGCACCAAAGGGTTAGCTCACTATGCATTCGGATCTTGGCTTTCGCGGTTTGATGAGCTCCTGCTTCTGTGGAGGCTGTGAAGCCGAAACACCCAATGCATAGTGGGATGGAGGGTTCAGCAGGGTTTGGGGTTCCAGAAGGTTTTCAGGTTTAGCTACATATGGAGTTCTGCGTTGTTTTAAAATTTTTAGTGGTTTTCAGAGGTCATCTCGTGAAAAGGGCAACATCAAGATCGAAGCCTCCCAGCACTGAGCCCATCAGACTCCTCCAGAGCCCAGAACAGCCTTAAGTAGCCCTGACACTATGTATCTCATCGAAGAAGCTAGCTCCCCAAAACCTGGTAGCCCAAATGCCCTTCACGCCCCAGCAAACACAGGGCACGCATCTCATCAACACCCTGCTCCGGCAGCGCGCCCACCCCGCCCCCCGGCGCCCCCACCCATGCTCAGCAACCTCCACAAGACTCAAATCCTTTCCCTACACCTTATCACCTAAACCCAGCCCCGAGCCCGAAACAAAAAAACCCAAACCCTACACCCGGAGACCCCAACCCAACAATCCAAAAAACAAGCCTCAAAGATACCCTTAAAGGAACTCTTAACGGAACCTTAAACCCAGGTACGGACCTTACGCTGCGGGGATGGTCCGGGCCCAAAGTCAGAAAGGACAGAGCCCCGAATTCGGGTTTTTAGGGTTGGTGGTTTAGGATTGTATGTAGAGGGGTTCAGGGTGCACAGTTCCTGAATTCGGGTTCTTTAGGGTTCGCTCGAAGGTTTGGGGGTTTGGACTTTTGACATAAGGTGTCGGGGTTTCGGGTTTAGGGCTTTGGGGGTTTAGGGTTGAGGGTTTTGGATTTATGTCGGGGTGTCGGGCTCAGCGCCGCAACCCGAATTGCTGCTCTTGGTCCAAAGCTGCCCCGAAACCCTAAACCCTAAACTTTAAACCCCAAACCCTAAACTTTATTAAGTTCTAAACCTCAAGCCCGAAACCCTAAACCCTAGGTTTAGCGTCGGAGTTCTCCAAGGCCTCTGAAAAATCGGCACCTTCAGGAAGCCCCAAATCGGAACAGCTCTCAGAGCTGTGGGGCCTTAGTGCGTAGCATTGCTCTCGCTACGTTTTGACTGCTAGGAACAGCAGCAACTGAGCTGGGTGTGAGTCTGCATTGATTCGGAGTCTGGCCTTCTTTACAGTCAGGCCACGCTTGTCCTATGTCTATCCGAGGCTATCCAGGCGAAATGTCGAGTGAAACTGCAATATGGTTAACCCTGATAGACCCTCTTCGAGGCCATTCGGGGATGTCGGGTAGTCGCGAGTCAGGGTTTACGGTTGATTGACGGTAATCGGTTTCGGGAACTGCGGTGGGCAGGTTTGGGAATCTCTTCTCGAGCTATGGTTGCTCGACATGTAAGTATAAACTAGGTGCGGTATGAGTGGCAGAAGTGTCGAATTTTCAGAAGGTTTTTCCACCTAGGATTCGATTCTGTCGATGGAACCTTTGGAAGCCCGAGCTCATGCATCTGCGGTGTTTGCGGAAGAGATTTCTCCTTGGCTTTCCGCAGTTCTCAGGTTCGCACATGTTTGCGCAATTGCCTGCTATAACTCGTTGCCAGAAAGCTTGAGGATCTTAAGCCGTAAAGTCCAAAGTCGTAGCCACAGCTGCAGCCCTCTCATCAAAGGCCAAAACCCTAGATTCAAGCCCATCTAAGCCCTAAATGGCCTTAGCCCAAACCCCCTAAACCTTAAATCAGAAACCTTCTAAGCCCTATTCCGGAACCCGCAGAAGCCCTCTTTGATGACAAGCTCTCTAGGGACTCCCTCGCGCCATGGCAGAGAGTGAGTCGGCAGAATCCGACCAGGGACCCGTTGATGGTGAGACGATGCTTGGCAGGTTTACGGGGCCTACATATATATATAATAAGGTTTTTGTGAAGGACTTTTTAGAAGCCTGGTTTTTTCGCACAGATTTTGGTCAAGGGTGTTCAAAGGTTGGCCTTACTAGAAGGTTTGTGCATGGTTTTTGTTCCCCAGCAACTCCTTTAAAGTATCCCTGAACCAAAGGCCCCTCAAAGGAAAGCGCTTTGAAGGATCCCTGACCAAAGACCACCCGGAGATCGGGTTCCAGAGTTTCAGGTTCCCACGCACATGACGCAGAGCCTCGAAGCCTCTAATGTAGGAACCTGATGGCCTATAACCCCAAACTAGAAGGATTCATGTAAGGAGCCCTAGTAAAGGCCGTTTTCTTAATCAGGTTCCGACCTTAGTGAGAAGCGCTCGTTCCGGGCTCAGACCTCAGGCTGTCAATTACGAGATTTTAGCGGAAGAGATATCAACCCTAAGCTGAAGGGTGCAATACCTAAACACGGAAATTCCAAAACGCTAAACCAATTGATTTCAGAAGCACGCACATACTCCCATACTCGCCTACCCTCAGCTTGAAGAAGGTTGTTGTGGTGCCAGGATAGGGGTGCTTTGACTTTTCTGTTTGAGGGCTTCCTGTGCCATGTTCTTTCTTCGGGGTTTGCGAAGTTTAGGATCCTAAACCGTAACCCTTAGCCCTAAACGGGCATGCTTTCAAATTCTGTTTGAGACCCCCAGAATCAGAAGGGATTATTCCGGAGTCGACTTCGTACATCCAGGGCTTAGGGTTTAGGGGTTCCTGTTTATTGATGCTATTGGCACTCAGGTTGGTATGGCATTCTGCCGAGGTCATCGTGACGAATCCCTGTACCGGTTGGGCAAACGGCGCCAAGGTGGAATCCTCTTGGAAGTCTTTGCCGCACGGCTGGCATTTTCGAGTTGAAGTACATCCAAACGGACGTGCAGAGCATCAGGGGTTTGTGAGTGTCTGGGTCAGAATCCGCCCACCTGCTGTGATGGAAGGGACGGATTGGATCTTTCCGGATCTGCAGCGGGTCAGATTCCTCATCAAGGGGCCTCGTAAGTTCCACAGCTTGCACAGTTCCAAGGCACCCCCTGATCCGTTCAGCAAATCTCGGCCAGCCTTTGGTCCCCCACGACTGGTTAGTCATGACGCAATCCGCGAGAACAATTGGCTCAGAGCTGGCAAGCTTCGCATAGTGGGCGAGGCCGCATTTCTTCCAGTAAGCTTCCCATGCCGAGATTTGCAGCCAGAGGTTTTTTCCAAGAAGCCAGAGTTCGTGACGTTCCTCTTGACCGATGGGTCGTCTCTTCACTTTGACAAGAGGCTCGTGGTGGAGCGTTCGCTGCATTTCGCAAACATGCTGGCATCCGAAGCGTGGCTCGAGAGCCGCACCAACGTGGTCGACCTGCGGAATAATGAGCAAGCTGACGTGAAGAGCATGCAGGCAGCTCCTTGGCTTTCGGATGCTGCAACAGGCGCTATTGGGGAGGTCGGAATAAGTCCCATCATTATATCTTCCCTATGAGGTCCCTGAAAGGGACTATATACCATAAATGTGCCCCAAAATTTAAAACCCTGGGCGTTTTCCCATATTGGCGACAGGCTTGTCAGCCCAACAACCTTGGGTTCCCAGTCAAAAAGCACATTCAGAGTTGACCATCAGCCGAGGTGCTTTGCCATTTCATGTCGCAGCGGTTTCGTGCTGCTTGCAACGAAGATCACGCATTTTCCGTCCGCAAGCTTGCAGATCAGTTCTGCCTAGATGACTTGGTTCAGGAAGTGGAATCAGAGCTCGTGCCAAGAGTTTGCAAGGACAACCTGCTCAAGTTTTTGGGTAGAGTCCTTGGAAGTGGAGGAATCTTGGAGGCCCGATGCCTAGAGATGCTGAAAGCAAATGCTTGCGAAGTTCTCGAGAAGCAGGGCCCTCTGTTGGACCAAGTTGTCGATGATAATCCGGCCCTTGCGAAGTTCCTGATGCGAGTCATGCTGAATGCGCTTAAAACTGGGCGGTCCTGAGGAGTGCCAAGAGTTTCGTTTTCCGATAAGAAAAGGGATCCCCCGTCTTACGGGCTCCGAGATGTGGGGCATCGCCAAACAGGAGGACTGTACGTTGCGTGTTCATTTGCGAGCATGTGTTGCCCACAACGTAATATGCCTCCACAAAAAGAGGTTTAAATTCGTTATGCCCTCAACAGCCTAAATGAAAGGCTCTAAACCCTATGTCACTGACCTGAAGCATATCCCCCTCCCCTGCCGATCCTCCAAGTCATCATCAGGAGTGAAAGGCCACCACTTAACGTACTCATAGGGGGCTGTACTTCCTTAAATAGGCCGTATTAAGTCTTGATTATAGGTATTAAGGCCCCTCCCCCCCTCCCCCTACCCCCCTAACGGTCCTTATGACGTACCGAGAGAGTGTGACCACGGCCTCCTAGATCGCAAAGCGCAAAATTCAGAGCAAACTGTTCTTCGCCTCCAGGTGCGACTTATCCCCAGCCAGGGGACAAGCTCTACACGCACTACGTCGGCCAGGGGCTTCGCCTGGGGTTTAGGGGTTTAGGGCTTAGGGTTACGAACTTTTTGTGATTCTTGTGTTTGAGTAAGCTTGCTTTTACGCTCGGCTTCAGGGCTCTATAATGGGTTCCAGGTTTCGGATTCAGTCTGCTTGAGTTCTACCCGTTTCTGTTACTATAGGGGTTGAGCGTGTGTTTATAGGGCTCATCTGAAGCAGTGCCACTTGGGTGGTTGTCAAAATCATGGTCCCTTTTTGGGTACCCTAAATATTGCCCTAAATATTAGGTGCCGTATTATAATAAGGACCCAAAACGGGACCATAATTTTGACAGCCACCCACTTATGGAGACGACCATGGCCAAACTTCCGAAGGAGCGTTCCACCGGGAGAGGGTCACTCGTATGTTTTGGCGGCACGAATCTTGGATGAACCAGGAAAGATCTGGCAGATCTACGTCATTTCTAAACCGGAAACCCTAAATCAAGCGCCGAGTAGCTACTCATTTGTTGCAACTCCGTGCAGCATTCAAGCTCTTGAAGTCCCGAAATTGGGTGTTCAGGGCTTGTAGGGTGAAGGGCTTGTAAGGTTCAGGGTTAGAGTTGAGGAACAGCCGGAACGGGGATTCAGGTAGCATCGGGAGGGAACTTCAGGATGGTGAGGTAGACTTACAGGTGCCGTTTGCGCGGTCTGCATCAGCCCCCTAGCTTCAACAACGCCTCCCATTCCAAGCACAGCCAAGACTTAAGACTTTACCTACAGACAATGCATGCGCCTTTACCCTCAAGTAGCTCCAATTCTCAGGCCCTAAACCCTAAACCCAAAAACCTTAAAACCCCCAACCCTTAAGCCCTAAACCCATAAAGCATCCACAAGGCTAAGACCAGCCGCTCAAACCACCCGGGAACCCAAACCCAGCTTGAATTCCAAATTCCTCAAAACTAAACTCGAAACCTTATCTGCAGCCCTGAGGCTGTTGCCCTACGCACTAAAGTGAAAGTCCGAGAAATCAACTTAGCATTTAGCCTGGCAGTAAGCGATGGTCGATTTAGTAGCGCTTGGGGAAACAGCTATACTATTTGGCTAGTTGGACTCTTGGGGGTAGAGCGGTCTCATGCATGACTCCAGATAAGGTTCTTGGCATTTCCGCCGAGGTAGGATCGCGTCTACCGGCGAGCAGATCGACTCTTCCTACGAACGTGGCCTGCCCTTCAGGCTCTTGGCATCCAACATGTGAAGGCAAACTCCTCACAAGCTACTCCCTTACTACAGGAGTGCTACAAAACCACGAGCCCTTGCGATGAAAGCAAACCTGCCCAAGTAAATTCTACCCCAGAGTCCCTGAAGCGGTTTCTTTCATATCGTCTATACGCCCTGAACCCTGAAGCGGTTTGTTTTCATACCTTATACAAACCCTGAACCCTAGACCCTACCTGGACCCCATGAAGAGTATATGGAACAACAGTCTTTTGCAGGTTTTTGGGCCATTATTTCGCCCAGTTTTGTGGGTCTAGGTAAGAAACCCTCAACCCTAAACCCTGAAACAAAAAAGACCCTAAGGCTTCGGGAGGCAGCAGCGAGTCTAAGCCCTAAACGCGAGCCAAACCCGCGAGGTTCCAGCTGGGCGTCGGCCAGGCAGCCGGGTCTTTGCAATTCGGCTGAGTATGCTATCGCACTATCATCGTCTATTCTCATGACTAACATATATATATATATATATATATATATACATATATACATATATATATATATATATATATATATTATGTGTGTATATATATATATATATGTATATATGTGTGTATATATATATATGTATATATATATATATATATATACAGATAGATAGATAGATAGATAGATAGATAGATAGATAGATAGATAGATAGATATATGTGTATATATATATGTATATATGTATACACACATGTTAGTATATGATAGTACATGATGATAGTGTATTATAGTGTATTGTATCAGAAGTTTTAGTATACGATGTACGGGATGTTACATTGTAGTACATGGTAGCAGGTTATGATAGCATAATATGGTATATAGTTGTTCTCTGAATCAAGACCTGTTTTTCACGAGTTCGAAAGGGTCGCAAGGGAATCTGAAAGCCCGCCAACATTTTGTGGCTGGATCGTTTCGGTTTCGGGTTTTGGGGTTTCAGAGTTTTCTGGATCTCAGAAGGGTCTTCGTTCAGATCGAAATGTGATGGCTTCTGCTGTGACTGGTGGTGTGAGAGTTTGAGGATGGAGCATTGAGTATACATCTTGCATAGGGGGTAGGGTTGAGGGTTTAGGGTTTAATCGTGGAGACTTGTCGCCGTTACAAGTACACTGCGAACCAGAAGATCGGAGCAGGTTGCATGTGGCAGAAATATACGGTATATCGCTGCAGCCATTGTTGAAAAACAAGAGCTTCTTTCGAGTTTGAGACTGGTTGACTAGCCATGGCAAAGTCTATGCTGTCCTTTCTTCTGACATTCTGCAGCTGCGTGCTGTGCTGGATCTTATGCACAAGGTGGCTGTCCGTGATTACAACAATTCCAAATGGCCCAGCCGCTTTGCAATGCCATGTTGATGGAGAAAACTGTTTCGCAATTGTCCATGTCAGGATCCTTCCGCACGCTTGGTTGGTCCTTGCGATTGCATGTTTGCCATTCTGCAAGCACCGGCTTCACTTCGGAATGCTGGCTTGCCATGTTTTGTGTGTTTTCGAGGTTGGGCTGGTGGTGGCAATAATTCTGGCTCGGTTGCAGGCACGGGCTCCATTCATGCCCTACTTGGGGACAGGTGCGTTTGACCTTAGGCCCCTCATTGTCAGGCAGAACAACTGGGTAGCCGCGCTGGCGGCTGGAATCACGGAGTTTTTTTTTGCCACCTTCAAGTGCCAATGGCACGGGCTTCAACTTGTTACAGATCCCCGCGGTGATTTATTGAGGGAAGTTGGCCGGCTGTCCCAGCAAGAGTTTCATCAGAATATAGGTTGGGGCCGCAATGTGCGTGGGAAGATTTTTGCTCTCACAAAGGACACCGTGTTTGCTGGCTTTGCGCAGGTTTGGGCGGAAAGCTATGGATTGTGGATCGAAAAGCTGGCCATTGAAGTTCGCTTCCGGGGCAGCGGCTTGTGCCGCAAATTCTTGGAAATGTTGGCACCGCACACTACAGGCGCGTCAGGGGTGTTCCGTCTAGCCAGCTTAAGGGCATCAAAAGCTGCTTGGACAGCCTTGGGCTTTGGAACTGTCTCCTTGACACTCAAGGGTTGAAGGTGATGCAATGCAGCATCAGCACCTTTGCAGCAGGATCTCCGGCAGACGGTCTGAAACATATGTTGTCACAGTCGCAAAGACACTGTGAAGAGTTAGAGCAACAAAGTGCCGCCATGGCCCGGCAGTGTGAAAGTCTGGAAAGCGCCCTTGCGCAGTCGGCACGAGACGCTGAAGCAGCTCAATCTCGGGCAAACGATCTGGAACGTCTGCTTTTACAGTCTCAAAGAAGCTGTGAAGAGTTAGAGCACAAGAGCATCGCCATGGCCCGGCAGTGTGAAAGTCTGGAAAGCGCCCTTGAAACAGTTCAATCTCGGGCAAACGATTTGGAACGTCTGCTTTTACAGTCTCAAAGAAGCTGTGAAGAGTTAGAGCACAAGAGCATCGCCATGGCCCGGCAGTGTGAAAGTCTGGAAAGCGGCCTTGAAACAGCTCAATTTCGGGCAAACGATTTGGAACGTCTGCTTTCACAGTCTCAAAGAAGCTGTGAAGAGTTAGAGCACAAGAGCATCGCCATGGCCCGGCAGTGTGAAAGTCTAGAAAGCGCCCTTGAAACAGCTCAATCTCGGGCAAACGATCTGGAACGTCTGCTTTTACACTCTCAAAGAAGCTGTAAAGAGTTATGGCGAAAGAGCGTCGCCATGGCCCGGCAGTGTGAGAATCTGGAACACGCACTGTCACAAGTTACAGCACGATCTGGCTTTGAAGAGCAGCATGCCCTGGCAATCTTTCAGAAATATCTTGATCTCCGGGATTGGGCGGCAGAGCAGCTTGTTAGACGAGCAGAATTTGCTGAGTTTCAAGAATGGTCTTGCTGGCCTGTCGCACACATGTGGGCTTACTGAGCTCTTGCAGACAGCGCAGCTGGGTGCAAAAGTCACGCAATTGGATTGCTTGCGTTTGAGCAAAAGTGTTCAAACGTTTCGTTTTACCAAGCCGCCCCAAACTAGCCCTACTAAGCGAGAGAGAGAGAGAGAGAGAGAGAGAGAGAGAGAGAGAGAGAGAGAGAGAGAGCGAGACAGAGACCACAGGTTACATGAAAGGGCCATACAGCTTGACTTGTTCAAGATAGAATTACTGCGGCACATGCTTAGCGTGGTGGATTTTTGGACCCGACTTCACCTGCTGTGTTACGAGGCTGCACAATTGCTGGTCTCTGTGCGGACTTCTGTGTCTTTTGGTCCTAAATCCTAAAGTCAGGTTTTAGGGATTAGGGTTAAATGCCACGGAGCTCTGTCACAGGTCATCGCCGGCTGGGATGAGGGTATCCGCAAGCCTGTGCCTCAGTGCAGATTGGGCCAGAACCCAAATCCCTCACCCCGATGCTGCGCTTGGCCCTCAACCCTGAACCCCGAACCATAAACCCTAAGTCATCTCCGCCCCTGTCTCGAAGCCTTGAACCCGCGAGCTAAGCCAAGCAAATTCTGACAGCACCGCGACAGCTACAGGTCTAGGATACCGTAGGACCCTAAACCTTAAGTCGTCCATCTCACTTCATAAAGCCAGGCAATTTTTAAAACCCTCCAGCTTCTACGCCCCAAGCCGAAGTCCTTGATCACAAGGTTAGACCTTCAACCCAAAAGCTGAAGTTTATACGGATGAACGCAGCCCTAGACTGTAAAGCTAGGTCTTTGATGCAGGGATCCTGGTGATATTGTTGTCATTTACGATGTCTTCTGCTATAGTACAATATTAATCAATTTTTTTTCTTCTTGTTCCTGTTACTATTAATCTGAATATGTTACTTATAATTGTTAGACTTTCTTTTTGTTCTTCCTACTAATTATTGCTCTTGATCTGAACTCGTTACTTTATAAATGTAATTAGCTGACCGAACTGAGACCGAGGATGTCTCTGGGCGAGCAGGCGCTGCTGATGATTCCGGCAGAACGAGCCTACGGAGCACAAGGCATGTCTGCGAAGTTTTGGGGTTATATATCCATCTTGGGATTCTGGCTTGTTCGAAACTTTAGGGTTTTCGGTTTTGTCTATCAGGGTCTGGAGTAGACTTCGCATGCATGGGACGCCTCCTGGTGGGGGGCTGAACGGTCTTGGAATGTGGGGTCCAACAGGATCCGGATCCGAGGTTCGGAACCTCGCTAAGTCCTACAAGTACTACTTCTAGAAGAAAGTGCCCAACTTTGAAGCATCATACCGCCTCGACCCCTATCCCCTGGAGCCCTAGACTGCAGGATCCCAAAGCGCCTAAATCCCTGAAAGCCCCTCAAGACCGCAAGACCTTGCAACCCGGAGCGTGAGGAGCTGGAGGATCGATCCCTCCGAATACGGACCTCATCTTCGAGGCCGCTACAGGGTCCTAAAAAACTCTGAGAAGGGAGTCCTGAATCTCAGAAATCCCCGATCTGGTGGGGGCCTTGCTTCACCTTGCATCTAGGGTGCCGGACCGGTCGTACGATTTGCGAACCGATTCGCCGACGAGGGGGATTCTTTGCACACGTGTCGATGACATCCTCGTGGTCTGCTTCCGGATTCCGTGAGGTCCCACGCCTGGGACTTATGATGTAGGCTTGTTTAGGAAGGCAATGGCCTCCAGGCCTGATCCGCAGACACAATCCCGCATAACAAGACCTCTGGTTTGGGGGTGTAGGGAAATCCTAACCCGAAAGTTCGCGAGGAATGTGGTAGTAGTGACCCTTAGACATGAATCTAATGCCCTGTTAGACACGTATAGCCTTATACCCTTAAAGCCCTCAACCTCAAGTTCTGAGTCTTCTCGCAGGTGGAGTTGCTGAAGATCTCGGCTTACTGAGACGAAGTGGCCTGCCGTTTCGGCATACAGAGCGCAGCGGCGAGCTGTGCGTAATTGAGCGGGCGAATCCACGTGCACACACGGTTGTCCACTAAACGCCTCAGATTAGAGATGGCGGGGATAAAATCCGGGATTATTCGATGATAGCCATAGAGAGTATCAGAATAATAAATTTGATTATGGAGGACACTGAACTAGGAACTCCGATGGAACAGGAGGATCCCTCAAACACGCACCACTATTCTTATGAAACTCTCATGCAGAAGTGGCAGGACCAAGCTCTATCCGATTCTGACACGAGTCCCTCAACCTTTACCCAGCGACCCCCAACGCAGATGCCAGAACCAAAGACAGCACTGGCAGTGAGCGGTGGATGGAGCGAAAAAAGCTTCTGGAGGCCCAGTGCTCAGGCTCCCTGTAGGGAAAGACCCTGAAACCCCAGAAGCTGAACAGAAGCGACACCCTGCAACGGTAAGACCCCGAGTTTTGAAATCTGGCGCTTGAGGTAGTTATTATCGCCTTGGTTGAGGACTTACGTGTCAGGGGCATAGGCTTTCGCTTCTAGGGAAGGGTGCTGGATCCGCACTTGATGCGGAGGAAGAAGAGCAACTTCAAAGCACTGCAGCGGCATCATCATCGTCGTCGGGATCGTCCCAGCCAACCCCCTTGAGTCCAATGTCCCAAACTTGAAGACTACGTATATGATTCAAACAAAAACCAAGTGCCCACCCAGAGCCCCCTCTCCCAAGCGCGCAGTGGACTCGTACTATACCCCCAAACCGTGAACCCTAATCCCTGAGCTCAGTAAGCGGTATCGCCAGCGACCGGTAGAGATCGAACCCTGAATCCCAAAGCCCAAAAAATAGTGAAGCTCCAATCTCTTCGGGAATAATGAGGTTTAGGGTTCCTTCTCCACAACATCTGTAATTACTTTCCAGGACGTGAGAAAAACAAGGAACGATTCTGAGGAACCCAAGTTCCAAGAACAAGGGAACAAGTAGCTGCCGGCGATGTGTTCTGCTCTCTTCTAGCTTTGCCTGCTCATTTCCCCCGATTCTCCAAGTTAACCCGGAGACCCTGTTCAAATCCGTCAGAGCACAGCTTAGACCTGACCCTCGACCTGGTTGTCGCCGTAGACGTATTTGGAACACTCGTCGTAGTCGTCGTCTGCTGGCAGACACAACCATAGTAATAGTTTTCTAGTGCTACCTGGTCGACTGAGTAGTTTGTTTGAAGTACGAACCCAGAGTAGCAAGAATCTCTTCACTTTACAATCACATGGTTCATAGTGTGGCGAAGTGATTGCATGGTAAACTCTGCACCCTAACCCACCTATAAGTTCGATACTGTCCCCACTGACTACCGTTTGGATAGGAGTTGGAATATGTAGATATATACGGCCTTTAAATCGTACCCTCTGTAAAGCCTGTAACTGTATGGGGGCAGTCTCCAAGATGTAAGCTTTTAGGGGTCGAAAATGTATCAAATATTACCAATATCATTCCTTCGGGTTCCGTATTATAGCTAGTGTAGAAAATTCTCCGAAACCCGTATTCTAACTATTCGGGCCCCTACGCAAAGCCTCAGCACCGCAGCCGAGGCTCAGATTGTTTGAATCAAAAGGGTTCCAGGACTTCCGCATCTGGCAGACTGGACGTTTTACTCTGTGCCCGTCTTTCTGCCCGGCGGCCCAGAAAGGCCAGAGGAGTGCTCAAGAGAAGTAGGGGAACACGTTCGAATAGATGGTTGCAAACGTTTAGGCTTCTGTTTCAGCTGCACCTACATCTGATTATTTCACTACATACTCCTAGATCATCCACTACATGCCAGGCCTGAGCCCTCACCCAGCTCAACCCTTACAGTAACTGTTTAAGTAGCCCCTATCTGTAGAGGAATCCCAAAAGGAGACCTCAAGAGTCCCTGGCAGGGCAGGATCTTCTGGGATTCAGGGACGAAAGAGGCCCTAGTAATTAGAACAGGGATCATATTATGCTATAGCTCTAGTCAGGAGCCCACAAAACCCTATTCTAGCTATGAAGGCCCCTACGTTTCGGGGCCGAGGTGTCAGGGTTTTCACAAGGGATTTGCAAGAAACCAGAGGCGGTGGGTCTTCCAGGCTTTGGGTATACTACAGGGGCCTAGATGATTACTCTTTTGGGGGGTTCCTTATTATAATTGTAGTATACTATACCCCAAAACCCTGTTCTAATTACTAAGGCCCCTATATTAGGCTGTTTGGGTTTTCTTGTTGAGAGTCAGGCCCCCCTCCCTTATCGCATCGAAACACAGAGTCCAAGGAACTCTCAAAGTGCAATGCGGAAGTGTCACCAAAGAGTCACTGACGAGGAATATCCCTGTCCTATGCGCTGAAGCCTTAAAGGTCCTACGTCCAAGACCCCACGCTCTTCAAGTGGAGGCCCTGGGATCGGTAAGTCCCATATCCTATGCCCCGGGCCTTCAACTCCAAGATACCCAACCCCTCAAGCGAGGTCCACTATGGTACGCCTCTCGGCAACCCGTATGGCAATCCCACGCAAAGTAACCCGAGACTAGAAGTTAGAACCATGAAGTGAGGTCCCTCAGCCATGGCGCCAACTCTCACAGTTGCAGATGCGGCTCCGGAGACCACCACTGCACCTTGGCCCGACAGTCTTCAAGTGCTAGTGTGGTCTGATTAGGGTTTTGATGCAACCTAAACTTTGGAACGGGAGTCGTGGAAGATCCTGAGCTTATGGTGTTCGCAATCGCCTGTTCAAGCATTTTTCAGGACCGAAATCGTCACCCTGGCGTCGGCTATCCCGAGTCTAGGTTTATAGCTTCAGCCTGCAGGATCCTGTATGATTTCAGTCCGTCCTGTGAACTTCAAACACGTCTTGAACTCAAGGGATACTTCCAGGGCTATCTTTTTGATCTCGACATCTGGGAGTTTCCGAAAAGTAGGGGTACCTAATTTCGGCGTCCTTATAAGGACCCTCCTTTGCTATTTAGGGTACCGTATTAGGGTCCCCTATTTTCGGAAACTCCCATATCGAAATGGCTAGACCACAAGAAGGGACTCCAACGGATGCTACAGGTCACTCTTGACCTAAGAGCTGCAAACAACCCCAAACCCTGAACGCCAATACCTTGAACCCGAAACCCTAAACCTCAAGGCCTACATTCTAAGCCATCGCTCCAACCCCAGACTCTGCGAAGCTTGAAGATAAACACTGTGCAGCTGATCTGCGACATATCCTGCCGAGATGTCTAAGCTTAGCTGCCGAAGTGTGTATGCGCCGGGGGTGGGGGTGACTACTAAGAGCAGTAGCAGTAGCAATCATAATGATAGTAATCATAGTCATGATACTTGTCATGACAACAATATGGAGGTTTCCGAAAATGGGGGGCCCGAATATAGTACCCCATTTAGTAGGATCCTTATTATAAGAACCCCCAAATAAGGTACTCCTAATTTTCGGAAACTCCCATATGTGGCACTGGAGTTCAAAGATCGACATTTGCGAGACTGAATGTCCCACATCCCTCCCTCAGCAACAGAGCCTCCTTGATCGGAGCCGTTCGCCGCTGTTTAGGATTTAAGTTTTAGGGCTTAGGGCTTTGAGTTTTGGGTTTGGGGGTTTAGGGGTTTAGGCTTTGCTGGGTTTTTGTGCTGGTTTCGACCGGCAGTAGGCTAAGAAGGGTTTGTGGAGTGAGGTCTGGAAGAGCAAGAAGAGGCGCGTGGGAGGTATTGGGCATGCCGATTAGTCAGCCACGAACACATCTTCCGACTTGCAGCCCCACTTACAGAAATGAATGCCAGCCCCACTTAAAGAAATGAATGCTTCAGTGTTTAGGGTGCTAGCGGCATATTGTTGCATGGAAGGCTTCTGCAGTCCGACTCTCAATCATATGTCTACATCAGATGTGCAGCTTCTAAGGTGTTAAGCGACTAGGATGGGATTCTGGAAGGAAGGTCTATCCTTAGGGTGTCGCCGTAGCTTTGCCATAAAGATCTCTCTGTCTGTGGACCCATGCATACTATGGAAAACAAAGGACATCCTAGTATATAGTAGAGTAGATAACCTTTAACCTTTTCTGGGTAGTATAGTAGGACATATATACAGATAATGGGTTAGACAAGCTTTACAGGAAAGCAAACTTTGCCACTGACTGCCAGCTATAAAAGGCCCACGCCCGAAGTCACAAGTGCTGAACGCTGAAAACCTCTAGTCCCCAGACCTACTAGGCACGTACGAAAAGCGGGATACTGTAACTTCGATGTCGAGTCAGGGAATTTGCGTTGTTCATTTTACGTTTAGTTTTCAGCAGTGCAGCCTCGTCTGTGCTTCGGTCCAAGCCTAGTGCGATGTTATGTTCAGACATGGCTACAATGAAATGATGCTACAAAGTCTTCTTGACCACAGCCGGAAACATTGCTCGAAGCCCTGTGACCACGAAAAGCTTCCAACTAATGATTCTGGAAATAGCACCCCCAAGCCCCAACTTGATTGATCATGGTATGTAATGTCCGTTGACGCATGAATGTAGGCAGACAGCGGTATACGCTCAGAAGATTGAAATAGAGACGGTTCGTAGTAAAGTCGAATCATAGCAAGAGAACTTGCATATGTACCATATGATATATGTGTATATGTAGATATATACATCTTGCGCACATTTATATTTATATATATATATATGTATGCGTTCATGTTTATAGTGCCTTTCTATAGCTACATACATACACAAAATGAATATAGTGTACATACATGCATAAACAATCACAGAAGCAAGCAACTAAAGGTGTGTGTGTGTGTGCGCGTGTATGTATGTTTGTACGTGTATAGGTATGGATAGATAAATATGTGTATATACATACACACAGTTCTATACATACATGCATGCATGCATGCTTAGATATATGTAGTATCATGTATATAGGTCTATACAACACATTGTATATATGTGTATGCGATTATGTGTATATATATATACATTTATTTATAGATGTCTATGTATAA